GGGACATGGCTCAGCCTGACTCCAGTGCTGTGCAGCTCCAGCCTGTGGCTCTCTCCTGTCAGTAACTCCTGCTCCTTTTCCCTCTCCCTCTCCAGGTGTGTCCTTGCTGCAGAGAGGAGTCTCCGTTCGGTTTTCCAGGCCTTCTTACAGCAATAGCTTCAACACCCTCAGCTTTGGGCTCTCCTGACTTATGGGTTTATAATTTTCATTCTGAGATCCTGTCCCTTATTTCTTCAGCTCTTCTGTCCTTCCTTTATTTTCCATGTAGATCCTGGTTATTTGTGGAGGAGAGTTCACACAGGCTCCTCCAGACTTCTTCAGTTCCTTCAGTTTGCACCTGCTTGGAGATCAAAGCAAACTGGGGCATGGGATTCCATGTGGGGGGAATCCCATGGCACACGTCCTTCCCAGCACAGGGAATGCTGGCATCAGAGTGCCTTGGACACTGACAGTGGAGTTGCTTTCTCCAGCCTTTCTGCTTCCTCCTCACTCTTTACTTACTAGTGAAATTATGTGGATGGCACAAGTTTTTGGGGTTTGGCTCAGTGCCTGAGCTGGGCTGTGTTGCAGAGGAGGGCTCTGGGCTGGGCAGGCTCATGCAGCCTTTTTGAGTTTTTCTGGGGGGAAAGAAGGATGATTTATTCTTTTTTGGGTGTTTTTTTCAGTAGTATTTACAAACCTTTGGCACTGGTGCTCTCAGTGCATTCATTGCCACAATGAATTTGCAATCAGGAAAATTCTCCTGGAATACTGTTACTCTGGAACACGATCAGCTCTGCCTGACGTGTCACTGCAGGGATGTGAGTAACTGGGGTCAAGTTGGGGGGGTGGAAAGTAAAGCTGCCGGGAAAGCCCTGACCCGAGGGGTCCTGGAGCTGCTCCTTGGGTTGGGACACTCCCACCCCTTGCATCAAGGGGGAGGTGAGAACAGTGAACCACTGAACCACTTCCACTGCTGCCTTGAGCTGCTCCTGCTGGCCCTGGACACAACAGTTCCTGGTGCTTTTTCATGGGCTGGAAGCAGAGCCTTCCACTGCCTTTTTGTACAGTCGGAGCCGTGTGTCCTGTGCTCCCGCCATTCCCAAGGGCTGTTCCCCATCCCCAGGTGCTGCCTGGCTCTGGGGCTGGTGCTGTGCAGTGCTGGGGGATGGACTCCCTGGTTCCCTGCCTCGTGCTGCTGTGGAACACCGTGTTTGGCTGGTGGGGATGGAGAGGAAAGGAAGGAAGGAATGAAGTGTCTCCACTGTCTGAGGTGTCACACGCTCAGAACTCGGCAGGGCCTGGGAGTCTGGGGAGAGCTGCACAGTCAGACCTGGCTGAGCCACGTAACCAAACCCTGTCCTGTCCCTCCTCAGTGATCTCCTCCCTAGCCCCCCTTGCTTTAGTCCTCAGTTGTTTTCAGTATTCCCTGTAAAGCTGCTGTGAGCCCGGAGAGCTTTGAGCATTCCTCGTGTGCCAATTCCAGCTGTTCTGGAGGAATGACTGAGTTTGATGCTCTGGTACTGCCCAGCCCCTGCCCTTGGCGTGGGGCAGGGTGACATTGTTCCTCAGCTGCAGCACAACTGTGTTTTCTTTCTCCCGAGATGTTTTTGTTTTGGCCAAAACTGTGCCGCTTACTCGGTCATTAAATGCTCATTTGTAACAAACTGAACCAGGAGCCCCGAGTTCTGTTCCTGCCTTGCTTGGAGGGAGGGAGGGAGGGAAGGGACTGAGGTACAACTCAATTTTAAATGAGTCCTCTCTAAGTCAGGGAAAATTTGTGAGCTGTACTCAGAGTGGTTTTAGATGTGGATTTCCAAAGGCTGGCTGAAATCATCTCCCTCCAGCAGCAGAGAAACCTGGGCTGCGCCTGCAGGTGCTGCAGGGTGGAGGAGTCACTTCCTAATGGAAGAACGAGGCTGCACCTCCCCTGGGAGGGTTTGTCCCTCCTTGCTCCACAGCTGGGATTGTTGGCCAGACCCCCCCTGCTGTGGGGGTGTGGGGAGGGTCGGCCCTATGGCAGCCCCGGGGCACGGGTAGTGCACCCAGGGGGGTGGGGGCTCTGCTTTGGTGCCCACCCTGAGCTGCTGCATTTTAGCTCCTGTGCTGGGCAGGCAACAAAAATGAGCATTGAAAGTTGAAGATGCAGTGAAATGCTGCAAATAAATTTGGCCTGCACAGGGCTGGTTTCAAGGGCTTGGGAGTTTGATGGCTGTGGGACCTGGCCAAGGCACCACTGTGCCCCAACAGCACCGTCCCCTTCAGCCCAAAACACAGATGGGTCCAGCTGCCACCCAGGCTCTGCTGCTGTGGGCTGGGACCCTGCACTGTGACAGCAGCCCCAGGGGTGAGTCTGGGCCAGAGGCACCTGAACAGGGACCCTGGGGTGCCAAGTGAGCCCTGAGGCTGCAGGAGAGACCTGAGGCTTCTGCCCCCTCACCTGGGGCTGGACCAGCCAAGACTGCCGCACCCACCTCGCTGCCCTCCCTGGGGCTGGGTGTCCTCGCCTCCCTCCCCCAGCAGCCCCTCAGGGCTGTTCCAGGTGCTCCAGGTGCAGCTCGAGCTGGGACACAAACCCTGGCTCAGCACATGGGATGAGACCCCCTGAGCTGCACCCCCCGGCTGCGGTGCTGTGGGGGAGCAGCCCCTGCTGTGGGGCCTGGCCGGGCCGGGCCCCCTCGGCCTCGGGCCCCTCCCGTGGGACGGAGCAGCCCCCGAGGGCCCACAGGGGCTCTGGGCCGACCCGCCCCAGGGTGGGGTCCAGGCCATGGCACTGCTCTTCTGGGGAGCAAGGCGGGGGCTCAGAGCTCATCGTCCCCCCCTTCTCCTCCCTCCCCGTCCGGCCGCAGGGGCTGTTTGCCCATCCCCATTGCCTCAGGGCTGAGCTGTGCAGGCAGCGATGGGTTCAGGATGGGTTCAGGGGCTGGGCCGGGGCTGCTCCTGCCCTAGCACCCCCCTCAAGCTCCAGGCAGGAACAAGGAGTCGCAGAAGCCTCTGTCAGCACGGGCAGCACCGCGGAGAGCAAGAGGGGGGTCAGCCTGGGGGGACGAGAGGGGCTGGGCGGAGATCGGAGGGCACCATGGATGTCATCCCAGCACCACCCTGCGAGCGCCTCCGCTTCCCTCCGCCCCGGAGGAAGGGCAGGGAGGGCAGGGCAGGGCAGGGCAGGCAGAGAGCCGCACGTCTGTCCTGCACCAGCACCCGCTGCCTGTCCCTGTGCTCCCCCCATGGCCGGTGCCTGTGGGAGCCACTGCAGGGCCCAGCCCAGCGCTCAGGGCACAAACAGCGGGGAGGAACTTGGTATCCTTTTATTTATAAACAAATCAACGTAAAATAAGTGCAGAGGAAAGCACTGGCTGACCCTGCCAGGCCCTGGGTGCAGCGGGACCAGCGCGGGTCACACCGAGGGGTGTCCAGGCCGGCAGCACGGGCTGCGCTCTGTGACAAAAAGCCTTTTGCCTTCTCGTTACTTTGGGCGTTGGGTTTTTTTTTTTTTTTTTTTTTTTTTGGTTTTTTTTTTTTGCAACTTTGCCCCTTAGGGGTAAACCTGACCCAGTGCAAGAGCCTGGAGGGTTGGTCACCGCGGGGGCCCGTCCTGCTGCTGGCCAGGGCCCTCGAGGCTGGCGGGGGGCTGAGCCGCGGCTCTGGATGCAGAGGGTGAGCTGAGGGCAGGAGGAGGAAGTGCTTGGAGCGGAGATCCCGTCCCAGCCCTTTGGTCACTGCAGGGGAGCGTGTACAGGGTGGGTCCGTGCTGGGGGTGTGTGGGGGCACAGCGGGGTCAGCCCCGCCTGCCCCACCAACCCTGCCCTGGCTCGGGGGTCTGGGCAGCCCCTGCCCCACAGGCAGCCCCGAGCTGGCAGCTGCTGCCCCGGGCACACGGCGCTGGCACAGCCGGTGGCCTCCACACTCCTCGTGCAGCTGCAGGAACGTGTCTGGGACCGCGGGAACCGCTCAAGTGCCATCAAAAATAAATACATTAAACTGCCTGAGACCAAAAGGGGCCCCGGGCAGGACAAAGCCCTCACAGGAAGAGCAACATGGGGACGGGTCACCACCCCGGGATCCTCTGGGCAGACCCAACACTCTCTCACACGCTGAGCTGGGACGGACCAAAACTCTAGAGGAGCGGGAGTGCCCCTGGGAAGACAAACCTTGGCAGCTCTGGTTAAAAATCACCAAGAGTTGCGAGTTCAACATAGGTAGAAAAATCATCTCATCGTTTTAAACACACAACTCCTTAGTAAAAAAAAAAAATTCCAAAAGAGAAAATTAAAAAAAAAAAAGGCGAGAAGAATCAGCCGAGTCCTGCAGCATCCGAGCAGCCTCCAACACGTGCCAGGGGCACCCAGCCCCGCTCCTCGGCTCTCCCAGCTCACTCCACGCTCCCAGCCAGTGCCGTGTGGCCTTTCCAGTCCGGAATAAATATGGAAGCTTCCCTCCCTGGCCTGGCGAGCCCAGCCGGAGTCGGGTCGGACGCCAGGGGCAGGCAGAGCTGAGGGGGTGAGTGGTCCCCGGGCTCCCCCCGGTGTGGAAGGCGGGGCCGGGGCGGTGGATGCTCCGAGCTCACCGTGGATGCTCCGAGCTCACCCCAGTGCCTGCCCCGAGCAGGCGAGAGGGAGGAGAGGTGGTGCAAGTGCCCAGTGCCCACAGACACTGCCCAGAGCTGCTGCTCCATCCCGGGGAAGCAGGACCGGGAGCCCACGGAGGAGCGCTGGGAGAGACCCTCTGCTTCCAACAGGGCGCCCATGGCTCGAGTCTGGCGTGAAGCCCAACTGTGCCGGGCTCCTCCCGCCGGGGGCGGGGGCAGCGGGACCCGGGGAGGGCCGGGCTGTCAGCGAGCTGTCCGTCTGTCCCCCGGGGGGGGCCGGGCTGTCAGCGAGGTGTCCGTCTGTCCCCCGGGGGGGGGCGGGCTGTCAGCGAGGTGTCCGTCTGTCCCCCGGGGGGGCGGGCTGTCAGCGAGCTGTCCGTCTGTCCCCCGGGGGGGCCGGGCTGTCGGCGAGGTGTCCGTCTGTCTGTCTGTCTGCGGTGTAAATGGGGTGTGTGCATGCGAACCTGTCGGCAGGTGAGCGCGGGTGGGGGTGGCCAGGAGCGGAGCTTCCAGGATCTGTCCTGCCAATGTCCTCTCAGAACTTGCCTTGCTTTAGCTTGTCGATGTGGTAAGTGAGCTTCAGGGCTGGCCCCAGCTTCAGCCCCATGTACTTCATCATCATGTCGCTCCGCAGCAGGAGCAGGGCCTTCCCGTCGATCTCCTGCAAGGAGGAACCAACAGTGCTTGTGACGCCCCTGGAAGCCCCTCCCTGCCCGCTGAGCCAGGCCAACAGGCAGCAGCGGGGCTGGCTGAGAGCCCTGCTCAGAGCATCCCAACAGGGACATCTCAGCATGGACAGCACTGCATCCACCCTGCTCCAGCACAGGCCTCAGCCCCAGACCCCATGTGCAGTGGGAAATCTGCTGGGGGATCAACATCCAGGAGCCTTGACCAGAGGGGCAGCAAATCCTGAAGGGAGGTGGGGAGGGAGGAAAAGGGAGGTTTTTCTGACAGGGGAATGTTGGAGGCAGGGGAGCAGTGGCTCATTCCAGGGCACTGTCACCCCAGCACAGGAGCAATGGTGACAACAGCCCTGCCATGACACACAGCTCTGAGTCACGGATGAAGATGGAGGTGAAAGAACAGACCCTGAAACTCAAAGAGTCTGCACTCTGTGACTGCATATTATGAAAAATTTTGTCCCTGAAAGGGTGGTCAGGTACTGGCACAGGCTGCCCAGGGCAGTGGTGAAATCACCATCCCTGAAAGTGTTCAAAACCCTGTGGATGTGGCACTTGGGGACACGGTTTAGTGGTGGCCTTGGCAGGGCTGGGGTCTTATTGGACTCTATGAGCTCAGAGGCTCTTCCAACCTGAATGATTCTGGGATTCTGTTCTGTGTTTCTGGAAGTTCACAGCACTGTCCCAGCCACTGGCAGAGAGTGGTGAAGCTCCTCATCCCCAGCAGGGCTGATTCCAACACAGCAGCTTCCAAAGCAGCTGATGCTTTATAGCAGAGTCCAGGTGTGTCCCACCTGAGGCTCAGGAGGGGATGGATCATGAGCTTAGAATAACCAGAGAACAGCTCTGTCCTTGGCATCTGCAAGTGGAAGTCTCCCAGTCCCTTTCAGTGCTCCTTTCCATGACCCAGTCCAGGCTGGGGCCAGAGCTTTGCATTTGACAGTTTTCCATGAAAAAATGTTAATGGACTTATAAAAGAAAAATAAAAATCACCACCTCAAACAACACAATGTCCTGCCCTATGTCAACGCCCAGTTAGGTTTCAGCCTGATGAGATCTCCAGAGATCTCCAGTACCAGGTTTAATCTGGTTTTCCCTTCTGCAGATAAAAGCAAGGTTCTCCCCAGGATTTCCAATCCAGGGCACTTCCCACCCTTGGCAGCTTTTGCATAATTAAAACAAACATTTTTCAATTACTGGTGGTTCTAAAATAGAGCTAATTAAAAAAAGGAGTGTTGTGTCAGCACAGCCCAGAGCAGGATGCAGCGCTGGGTGTTTGCTCCCAGGGCTCTCCCGACTTCCCAAGCAGCACCAGATAGAACATGGACTCAATCAAAACACAGAGGAAAGACAGTTCTGGCAGGAATCAGGACATGGAGCTGCCAAACCTCTTGTAGCTTTAATGGTACAAACTCCATGCTGTGTCTGCAGCTGTTTTACACTTACAGATGTGCACAAGGAGCAGAGCCTTAGGGGACTCCCTGTTATAGGAAACGGAGTTGAGCAGCGATGCACTCCATGAATCCCACTTGGAATGTGCTTCTTGACAGGAGAAGTTTGCCATGAGGTGAGTATTAGGCTCCAGGGCGAGCAGAGTCTGTGTTTTCAGCACTGGGATTCAAATGCACCTGAGCTGCAGGTCTGCCCCTGGAGGGGTCTGAGTGAGGATCCCAGTCCTGGACAGGGGATGAGCAGGATTTATGAGGATATTTTTATTAAGCACAGAACTCCAGCTGGTCCAAAGTGCTGCCATTTTCTGACTCTCCTGCGTTTTCCTTGTGTGCTGATTTGCCCCCCCCACACGTGACACCCCCAGAGGCACTCACGTGTTTTCGGAAGAGGTCGGCGTGGGGGCCCAGCTGCGGGTCGGACTCACGGATGAACTGCATCACCTCCTCCACCGACCAGGACGAGGGGTCGCGGCCGCTCAGCCGGGACACGTCCCGGGGGCCCAGGTACCTGTCGGACCCTGCGGGTGCAGACAGGGCTGTTATTCCAGTGTCCCACAGTTACTCACCCTCAACCCACCACTCAGCCTCCTCTCCCACAGCAAGGGCAGAGACACAGCAAGGATCACATCCCAGTCAGGCCCCACATTCCTGCAGCGCAGGTCTGGCACCGAAGCCTTATTCCCTCTTCTTTTCAGGGCAGCCTTCTATACTGAGCCCTATTCCTCTCTCTTAACACCAATTTCCCCTTGTTTGCCCCCCCATTCCCACTCCTCCTTGCCTATCAGCTGACAGGTCCCACCTCTGCAGAACACCCTCCCTGCTCCTACATCTCTCCTCACACAGTTCCTCCTCCACTCCCAACACCTTTAGCATATTTAACACAGCAAAGCTGGTTTATGTTTTCATTTTCTGACAGGTTGAGCCCACAGGTGAGATCCCGCTGTCCCGAAGCACGGCCTGAGCTGACACAAGTCCTGTTCCCAACGTTCCGGCATCGGCACAAGCCCCTTGTCCCAGCCCTGCCCTCACACACGGTGGGGGGGGGGGGGGAGGCACCAGCAGCCTGAGCTTTTGAGAGGCTTTTATTGACACCATGCACCCAAAATCACACTTTTTGCAACCTGATGTGCTGATGTGCTGCACTGACCAGCTCAGCTCTCCTGCCCCTCTCCCTCCACACAGACAAGTGCTGTTCACACATCCCACCCTCCCAGCTCCCCCTCAGCTCCAGCCTCTCCAGGCAGCTCTTGACTCCCCAGCCATTCCCGATCCGTCCTCACAGACCCAGATGCCCATTTGTCACTTGGACACAGTTCAGCTCCTGCCTGCTCCTTCCTCTCCACCAACCCCCAGGTCCCCTGGTCAGCAGCCACAGGAGCAGTGTCACTGTCCACACTGCCCACACTGCCCAGGTGCCATCACACCTCACAGAGCTGGGGGGCTGTGCAGAGCCCAGGCTGGTACTTGCTGAAGTCAGAAAGGTGTAACTGGAGTTAGGAAGGCCCTCTATTGCCACTGTGCAGCTGCAGGGCTGTTCTGAGCTCTTACCCCCAGAGCTAGGCCTGCGCAGGGCAGAGGTGCCCTGGCTGAGGCTCGAGGGTTGGTGCAGGTGCCTGTATCCTGGCAGGCGACAGTCTCTGGAGCTCCTGCTGTGGCTGGAGGAATTGACAGAGTTCAAGGCAGAGTCCATAGGGTCCAGGCGAGGCTCCAAGGGCCCTGGGAGGCCATCTCCCAGGACAAAGGTTTCACCTGGAACGCACCAAGCTGCAGTCAGTGCACCCGAACCCCACAGCCCGACGCTCCTGCTCGGGGACAGAACTGCAGCACTCATTGGCTCTGACCCCTCTCACTGGTCTCCACAGCACAGGGATCAAACCAGGCACTGCGTGGTGTTCACCTGGCAAACACCAGCCCAACTAGTGGGCAGTGACAATGGTTGGTGCCCAGACTGAGGCAGCAGCTCCTCTGCTCGTGCCACCACCAGCTCTGGCCCAGCCCTGTGCCCTGACGGCCCTGGACCCCTCCATGGCAGGGCAGGCCTGCTCCATCTGAATGCCAACAGACACAGGACTCACACACAGCCCTGAGCAGGGAGGGAAGGGGAGGTTCCCTGAGGGATCACACATTGCACACCCTCGGCATCAGCGTGCAAGGGACTGGCCCTGGTGGTTGGGATTGGGGTGTGGGACACGTGGGATCCCGGAGGCAGCACCACATGCAGGGCAGGAGGGGCTGCACTGTCATGGCCAGGCAATGCTCTCCAGCCCCAAAAGCAACATGCTGGTGACCAGCTGCTCATCCCTCCTGACCTCCTGCCCTTTTCCAGCCTAACCACGTCGGAGACCAACTCCCTGTGCTGGTACATGCCCAGGAGGGACTGGGCTGAGGGTTCTCCCCAGGCAGGGTCCCAGGGCAACAGCAGCTTCCTCACCTTCCTCACCATCGAATTTCCAGTTGTTCATGGCACTACTGGGATGGAAAGGCTGAGGAGACTATCCAGGGTTGTATGTGGGCCAGCAAGACCTGCCTCTGCTGTTACACTGGGACAGCGTCACCTCAGGGCCACGTGTCTGTAGGTTTTACTATGGCACAACCAAGTCTCAGCCCACGTGGCCCTTGAGCCTCCTGAGTCATCCTTCAAATACCTGTGTTCTTTCCTAGGAATTACCTGGCAAGTTCTTGGACCGAGGAGGAAAGCAGCTCCCACACTGAGGGGCAGGGCCAGTGCACTGCGGGGCCGGGGCTGGGGCTGGGGCTGCAGCTCCCCTACCAGGGTCTGCAGAGACCCCGAGAGCAGCTCACAGCCCTGAGCTGCTGCCACTCCAACACACAGCAGGTGACAAGGGGCAAGAAACCTGAGCCACTGCTCTGGCCAGCGCCTGGGTTTGCTCCCTGGGGCTTCCCAGACCACAGGAGCAGCAGGTGAGAAGCCAGCACAGCAAAGCTGTGCTGAGCTGGGTTGGTGGTGAGGGTGCAGAGTCGATACTGCAGCCTGTGAGATCCAAAAGCTGCTGAGATTTTCCCAAATTCCCTGCTGACATGATAGTGCCAGGCTCCAGGGAAGGGAGGTGCAGAGCCTGAGCCTAACCCTGAGTGCTGCTGACACAGGCTCCCACCCGACTGGAGCAGCCTCTCCTGAAGGCACCTTATTTGCCGTGGTTTCTGTGAACTATGGGACTGTTGGGTGAGCTGGGGTCCTCTGGTCTCAGTGTTCTGCTGTCTGCGTTTGAGCAGAGATCCCAGAGCCAGTTCAGCTGAAAATACCCAGCCCTGACCTTCCAGAGCTTCAGCTCATAAGGCCATGGATTGGGAATCCCCTTGTCTGGCTGTTGGCCAGTTTGGTGAGGCCAGTGGGAGGTTATCACCTGGGTAACTGCTGTTCTTCCACCTTGGGGGCTTTGTCACTCTGCACTTGAGGCACTGCTGCTTTTTTTTGCTTTTAGGTCTCTGGGACATGCCTAGAAACAGCAGCACAGCCCTGCAGTCTCACCTAGAAACTGCTGGTGTTAAGACTGTACCCCCCTCCGGTGACCCATCCTGTGTCACTCACTTCCCACATGGGCAGGTGTGTTCTCACCTGCTCTCAGTGCATAAAAGGTGGTTTTCTGACTCATGGCTTTTCCTGAATAACTGTGAACCCCTCCTGCACTCCCAGCATCCCATTTCGGCTCCAGGCTGGACACAAAGCCAGCACAGAGTGGCTGCTCTGGCCCAGGGGTGGGTGGAGATCCCCTGCCCAGCCAGACCCACCACTGGCTGTCCCTTACACCAGGGGGTCTCCACTGGAGCCGCTTCTGAGGAACTACACTTGGTCTCCTCTTCAACTGGACAGTTCTGCTTAAACCCCAAACGACTTCCCATTAAACACCTGGGAGAGCGTGCTGTCTGACTGCCAGGGAAGGGCAGAGGCAAGAGAGGGGTCAGTGGGCACAGCCCTGTGCACTGCCACAGGACAGGCTGTGGGCATGGGAACAGCTCCATGCTGCACGTCTCCAGCCTCCAAGGAAACACAGCCCCCCCCCCGAGGTGACACACAGCTTCAGGAAGCCCCAGGACACTCCCCCAGATGTGCTGGGTCAGGCACACGTGTCTCTAACTGCTCCCCAGGACCCCAAGGCTCTCCCCGTGGGGATCACTGTCAGCAGAAGGCCCAGCTTGGGAGGTTGGGAGAGCACATGCACAGGTTCATGTCGGTGCCATGCTGAGGATCCAAAACTCAACCCCAGCAAATACTTCACTCAACAGTCAACACACTGTTGTTATCCTGATGGGAATGTGATGCATTCTGCAAATATGTGGTCCTGTTCTCACAGGAACTGTGATCACACCCCCAGAGGCCACGGGCGAGGCCAGGCCTGGGGGCAGCACGTTGCTTTGCCCAGGAGGTGGAAGTGAAGGTGCACACTGACCCCCAGGTTCCCTATCCCAGCTCAGGGCAGTGCTTGGCTGGGCTGTGAACTTTGCAGCAGAGCTGGAGGCTTCCTGGCAGGGTCAATGCAAGAGAGACTGAGGGTCTTCTTAAAAATACAAGTACACAGAGAACTGCTGAGATGAACTGACACCTCTAGGAAGGGGAGAGGGACATGAGGCAAGAGGGCAATGATTACTGTTCCTGTGAGTCATCTGCAGCAGAAAACAACATGCTCCTGGGCATGGGCAGGGCAAGACTGTGCTCAGGCACGATCTAGGATCCTTCACCCTCCACAGCCAGTGTTGAAGGAGGGAGGAGGTGGTTGATTTTTAGGCAGATTTCCCTACACAAACTGCTAGAGTTAACTAAAGGCTGGCAGTTGGCACATTGTAGGGAAACACACCACAATTAGTGGCGGAGAGGCAGGGAGCAGATAATTAAAGTTTAATTAAACAAATAGTGCTACAGACTCAACAGTGCCATTTTACTGCTAAAACACAGGAGTTTGGCCACAAGCAAAAATCTGATTTGCACAACTACTGAACACCCACTGCTTCCAGCAAATGCTGGGCTGTGAAGGCAGGTCCCCACTGTGCTGGGACTGCAGCGTTTCAGCAAAAAGCAACACAAGTGCCACTGGATGCAAGAGGAAAAACAATGTAAGAGGTGAGATCCCCTCCTCATCTCTCTGCTTTGCCAAAGGCATGGTGAATGGGATATCCCACTGCTGCTCACAGCCTTCCATTTGGCAAACTGGGAAGTGTTCAGGGGCTGCTGTCTGTCACTCTGCTGAAGCCAGAGTTCAGCTCCATGAGAAGATGTACCTCCTTGCTCAAGAAATATTCAATATCCAAGCATTTCAGGTGCATATTCTTAAAATATATCCTCTGAAATGCAAGTATTCCTGCCTGCACTTCAATTTCCTGGTGGAGGAGGACATATTCATTCCAGCTTTTAGCTATGGGATAAGAATGAATTTCTAGGTGGAATCTGGAACTGCACCTTGTTCCTCCCTGCTTGGACCAAGCACAGAACCAGACCAAGCTGCTGCAGGAAGGTCACACACTGACAGGATCACCCCCCTCACACACAGACACACTTTCTGCCCACTTGTCTGTGTTTTTCTGGAAGGGGCTGGAGTACATTGCATCCAGATGGCACAACCCATTCAAAGGCCAAGGGATAACTGAACAGACTTTGAAGCAGACCAAGAATCAATCTTGTAGACAACCTAATGTAGATTCTTCCTTGAAATTACCCATTATGGAAGCCTTCTCTATTCACTGACAATACAGAGTGTGCAATATTCACCACCCAGCTAAGGCACCTGAACCTTTGGAGCAGACCAGCACTTCCAGAACAGGCTGAACTGCATGTCCCACCTGCTGGGGGAGGAGGAGGGGCTGGGCCATGCTAATGGTACCTCAGTGCAGTGGCTGATGGATCAGAGGGGAATGGCAAAGAGATCAGCACGGATGTGTGTTTGGAGGTGAGAAACAGAGGGGGCCTCAGGGAACAGTTTCTGACTTGTCAGTATGCTGGAATAAATGAGACAGTCCCCACATATCACCTTGGGTTTTGTTTCAGCTCTGTGACAAACCTACAGTTTTCTTACTGTAGATACTGAGGCCACTAAAAAGTGTCCACCACAGAATCACAGACTGGTTTGGGTTGGAAGGGACTTTAAAGCTCATCTCATTCCACCCCCTGCCATGGGCAGGGACACCTTCCACTAGCCCAGGTTGCTCCAAGCCCCGTCCAACCTGGCCTTGGACACTTCCAGGGATCCAGGGGCAGCCCCAGCTTCTCTGGGCAATCGGGTGCAAGTTCAGAGCAGCTGGGCTTAGTGACAGGGTCAGTGATCCTGCAGAGCACAGGACACAGTGATGGATGGAGACCAAAATCACCCACAGTGATGGCAGGCTGGGCACTCACACCTGGGATCAGCAACCCCAGCAAAGCCAGGGAGATGGGGATTCTAAAGGGACAGCAACAGAGCACGAAGCCATTGAACTGTGAGCCCACCCAGGAGTCTCCAGCACTTTTTCAGGGATATATTACAAAGAATTGTGATTAACACCTTGGCAGATTTCACCACCCATTAATTAAAAGGCCTCAGTAAGATTAAATCTCCAGTCTGCATTATGGAGGGTTTGCAGTTCGGAACAAAAGTGGAAGTATTTTTACTGAAGGTTGCTCAGTTCAGGGAGTCCTCCAGCTACCTGGACCTCCTGGAAATGTCCCACCTGCACATGCAAGGGACACCTGTGGATCAGACAGCAAAGAGGACATTCCAGCAGCTGCTGTTGGGAACATGTGGGCCCAGCACAACAGTGGCATCCCAAGAGACTCTGTGGGAAGCAGCAGCAGGATGTGAATAATCTGGCTGAGCCAGGGGAGCACATGCCAGTGAGACCCCCCCAGCTCTTTCAGGGAGGACTGTGAGGAACAAGATGAGATCCTGGGAAAGGGCAGCAGGTTCCTGGCTGTCCAGCTGCACATCAGCATCTGTACAACACACCCCAGCAAACCCTGAGGGAACAAGCCAGGGCAGACTGACTGGAGCAGCTGGGCAGTTTAAGGATGTTAACGCCATGCATGGCCATGGAAGCCAAACCACGGGTGATTAAACCCCAAATTACACGGTAGGAGAGGATGACTATCAGGGTTAGAAGGAATTCCCACTGCATTCCACATGCCTTACACATCTGTGTGGGGAACCTGCCTCACCACAGAGCAGTTCCCTTCCCTCTGGAACACCAGGCACAACCCATGCCAGGGACAAGCAAAGCAGCTCCCTGAAGCCATGGCTCAGTCTGGCACGGCAGAGGTGACCCTGCTGAGCCAGGCCAGGGCACTGTGAACAGCCAGCTTTGGGAAGAGACACTGTGCTCACCTTCCAAAGGGTGACGGTCATTCTTTGGTAACTTGGGGGAGAGAGGAGCAGTGTATGGAGGGGAATCTTGGGAATAGCGCTTTGTACCCCGGCCTGGTCCCTGCAGAGAGCCGTCTAACGAACTGCTTCTGTCTAGGAAAAGAGAACAAGCCCTATTTAGGAGTGGAGATGTCCTGGGAAATTCAGTCTTGCCAGAGTCCCTTGAGCTCTGCGTGCACCGCCAGCCCTGCTCAAGCTGCAACTCAGAACATCTGAGAGGGCTCAACAAGTGTTATCAGAGAAAAAGGGTGGCGAGAAACCTAACAAAGAATCTTAGCCATATTTTGCCATATTTTACCCCAAATATCACCCCTAGTTGACTTAATTCCATTTCTCCTCATTCTACCCTTTGGCTCATCCCACACAATCCCTGCTCATCCCACTGTTCACCTTTCAGATGCACATAACCCTTGGACAATTGGCAAACAACCCTGGGATGACTTACACACCCTCTGTGCCATACACAGAGCTGGATTAACCCCCACTCTGGTTTGCAATATTCCCCCCAGTGGATCCCCAGCTGTGGCTGCTGCTCCTGTCCAAGCACACCCCAAGGATGGGGCTCTGTGCTGCCCAGGGCACACGGGATGTCGGGATGGGCTGGGACAGCTCCTTGCACACACAGTGTCGTGGGTGGATGGACACAGAATGGAAGTGCCAACGCTGATGGGGACAGAGCCAGGTGAGTGACACAGGGGGTGGCAGACCATGTCCCAGCTGAGGTGACCCTCCAGCTGCCCCCTGCCCACATGGGCCACCAGCTCCCAGGCCCCTTCCAGGTGCCCTGAGCACAGGCCCCACGAGTGAGCCCCCAGCACTGCACGCTGGGCACAGAGGGGTGGAATGGCACAGACACGTGCCAGGAGCCAACACCAGCCCAGAGCAGCCCCCAGAGCTGGCACAGGGTGCGGGAGGGGGGACGGGCACGGCGGGGACCGACACTGAGGGAGATGCATCACACCCAACACACGGAGGGACAGGCGGGTGGGAAGCACCAGACGGGCACAGTTGAGCTGATTAAGGTGAAACACAAAGGTAGAGAAAAGGACCTGTTGTATCAATATCCTTCAGGAAAGACAAGCTACTTGCCCTGGGACTCCATGTGAGTATGACCAAAAATCACTGTGACATTGTTAAAAAGACAAATTCCATCCTCAGGACAAGTCCCTGTAAGAAACATTTACTGCCCAGCAGAGATGGGAACAAATGCTCTTGGTAATGTCTCTGGATATTCCTGTGTCACCCAACCTTCTTCACCCAGCAGCCACAGAACCACAACACAAGGTGATGCTTTGGAAAGGTTTCATCAGGTTTTGGTTTGGGTTATTTTTTTAAAGTGGTTGATGTTAAAAGTCATGCAAACACAGAAGGTCAGGCTGTAGAAGACAATTCAGCAATCAGAAGTGAGGTTGGTGTAAATTCATGAAAGGATAAACCAAAAATAGAATTTTGGTTTTAAAGGACAAATTTTAAGAAAATAAAGAAATGGAGTAACATCCAGAGCTGCACTCAGCAGATCATTGGGGCAAAAAAGAAAATACCTTCAGTTCAAAGGTGCCATAAACATCATGAATGTGAATCATCAGAGAGGGAATAATGTGAGAGGGAAGGACCCCAAATCTCAGTGGACAAACGCTCACTTTGAGAAGGATGCTGAGAACAAGCAGATCATTTAGTGGGATAAAAAGGCCCTGCTCAGCACGGAGCTGTGCACCTCAGAGCACGGGGAGTGCAAGGAGGAAGGGAGGCTTTGAACTCATCCTGTGTTTTGAGACAGTGCAAAGGCAAAGACAAGCCCGTGCTTCAGCTCCAGGAGGAACGAGCCCAGGGGAACAGAGCGAGGGGACACTGTGCACAAAGGTGAAGAGAAAAGGGAAGCACGTTGTCCTTGCCTGCAGACGATGGGACAGCTGTGAGGGGCATTTCACATCCCTGACTCGGGAGCCTGGCAGGAGGAAGAGAAGCCCACCTGCCCATGCTTGCATGGTGCTGTGGGCCACCCCAAGGCCATGGGATGGACACCTTCACAGGCAGCCAGAGTCACTCACCTCATCCTGTCAGGCCAAAGTCACTCCAGGCTCCCACTCTGGGACACTGTGCCTTGCACTGATGGCACTGGCACTTCCTCCCTGGCTGCAGAGCACACCCACACACCTGGCTCAGGTGTTGCTCCATCTGTGACACCCACCTGCACTCAGTGCATTTCAAGCTCAAAGAGGGTAGATTTAGACTGGATATCAGGAAGAAATTCATCCCTTTGAGGGTGGTGGGGCCCTGGCACAGGTTGCCCAGAGAAGCTGTGGCTGCCCCATCCCTGGAAGTGTCCAAGGCCAGGTTGGACGGGGCCTGGAGCAACCTGGGCTAGTGGAAGGTGTCCCTGCCCATGGCAGGGGGTGGAATGAGAGGAGCCCTCATGTCCCTTCCAACTCAAACCATTCTGGGATTCACTTCCATCTGCAGCCAGGCTGAACACTGGGGCAGGGCTCAAAGGATAAAAGAAACAGGACAGGAATGAAAATATCCACCACTGACTAAGTCAACTGAATGTTCTCAAACTGGGGACGTGAGGGCGCAGAGGAAGCCAATGATGGTGCACCTGAAACTCTGCAAACTCAGCAAACTGTAACAGAACTCAGCAACACACTACTCAGAGTGACTGGAAACGTGGTGTCAACATTTGAAACAGAAGGTGAAAGAATGATTTTGGCAACAAAATGCCCATGTGTGACCTCAGCAGCACCACAAGGCTTGTGGCAGGCTCTGAAGGAAAGGGTAGGGAAAATCCACATGGTACATACCATGGCAGGTGTCCACCAGCAGACTGACCCAACAGCTTCCCTACCATGGGGAAATCCTGATCTGTCACATGAGGGAACAGAGGTCAGTCTCATTTCCCTGGAATTCAGCAGATGTTAGATACAGAGAGCCACCGGCTGAGACTGAGAACATGAATTACCAGAAGCCTTGTTCTATGCACAGAAATCTGATTTGAGAGGAAAGGCAGTTGGCAGCACTGAGTGACACATGAGGCCGGGGAGCAACCGCCAATGAATCTGCTTGAAGATCATTCTTGAACCCAGTTGTCATTTAGTATTTTTTTTAAACCTTCGGCAGAAATTTTAAATAATGAAATGTGCTGATGTCTTCCCACATCAGGCCAGACAACGTAACATTTGAAATTAGGCAGAATGAAGAACCAGTCAGGAGGTAAATCCAGCAGCCAAATGAAGATGTGCACTTGAAACACTGTCCCATGAGCTGGGAACCAGCAGGTGACAACAGTGGATGAGAAGAACAAGGTACGTGACCAGGACAGGCTGATCATCATCTGTTACAAGGACACACTGACTGAAAGTGGCTGTAGAGAGATTTCTTGTGACCATGGTGGTGCCAGTGCTGTGGCACCAGGTCCCCACAAGCTCCTCCCCAGAGGGCTGGGTGGTACTCTGGTCACCCCATGAAGTTTAAGTCAAACCAACACTGGCTGAGGAGAGCAAAAAGCAGCCAAAAGGTGAGTTTTCCAGAGGGACACAACTGCTTTCCAACTACTTCCAGAAGAAAGAGAACCAAGTTGAGCTAAAAGACAATGTTAAGACCAGGAGACACAAATACCAAGTTGCCCAAGAATAAATTTTGGCTGGAAACTACAATATAGTTTCTAAATACTCGGCAAAAAACCTTGGAGCAGCCTCTAGTGGAAGAGCAAAATCTGTAACTCCAGAGTTAGAAAAAGCAACACCACGTGCTGTGGTGCCTTTAACAGCAGGACCCAGGGCTCAGGGGGCCAGAAGGTCCCTCCAGTCCTGTGTTTTCAGATGGCTCCAGGGCAGATCTACCCATTCAGAACATTTCCCAGCCCAGGCACAGCAATCAGCTTCCCCAATCCTTGCAAACTACTGTTCCTGACCTGTTTTCCCCTTGTTTCCATGACCATGCCTTACTTGGTAAGACAGAATGGCAGGACACAGCTGACCCAAGGGCTGCTGCAGATCTTCCTTCTGCCCCAAGCACACACACCAATTCTCCACAGCACCCAGGGGTGCTCCTGGAAAGCCAGTTTGTTCTGGGAACTGAAAGCAGCTCCCAGCCCTAACCAGTGGCTGTTTACTGGAACAACCAGCCCCATCCAATACATTCCCATCCTGCAGAGGAAGCAAGGCAGGACATGCAGAGCTGAAGGTGAGACCATGGCACCTTGATGCTTGGCATGATTTAAGGATGTACAACTGCACTCTCATTCCTCCATGACCAGCCCAAACCTCCCAAAATTGCCGGGACTCTTTCTTTGCCCTCACCAGAAGCCACTGTAATGTGTAGATAGTAATGTTTATCATCTTCTTTCAGGTGTCTGAGAAAGGTGTTAGATGACCAGATGACCAACAAGCTCTGAGATGTCAGTATGAACTGCAGGACTAGGTGCTGTCACTTCTCTAGACTGTGGTTAATTTTTCCTTAACCCCTGCAACCATTCAAGAGTTCAGGACGGGCAGGTCTCAGCATTGTGTCAGAACTGGTGCTCTGCCTGAGCTTCCCTGAATTCTGATTTACACTTCTCCACCCTGCCTGGCAGCCCAGCTCTTGGCAGAGCCTCTCTGGGAGGCTGGAAACCCTGTGTGTGAGCTACAGGACACTCTTATCCATGCCCACATCTGAGTCCTCTCCCTCCCACTCTGGTTGTGCTCTATCTCTCAAACAACAGGGTATCTCCACACTGAAACATGGAGATTTCTCCTATTTGAGGGTTTCCCAAGGGGCAACCTCCAGTCCCAGTAACTCATCATGCTGCTCCTGTCCTTGCATTTCCTACAGCTCCTCACAGCACAGCACAGCTCCCTGCTCCTGGCACTGTTGGCTCCAGCACGGCTCTGCTCAGCCATGGAGGAAGCAGAGGATCATCCTCGCTCTCTAGACTCTCTCTAAAGATCCTCTTGCTCATCCCCTCCCAGAGGCTGCTTTGTGAGGTGCAATGAACAAAGCACTGTGGCATTTGGCTGTTGCCCCTACACCTCATGCTTAGCAACTTCTTCTTAAACAGTTCTTCCTAAGTGCTCATCCTTTCACATTCCAAACTCTTGCTTTTCTTGTCAGAGCCATAATTATCCAAAGGATTAACTTTGGAAAGACCTCAAAGAATACAACAGGTATTTGCTGACTGGAGAGGCAGAAAGCAAGACAGGAGAGGAGATGAGCACTTGTCAGCCACCTAAGAGGGTGCAGACAGCTTTGATCCTCTCCACAACTGGCATTCCTAGAGCAGGAGCTCCCCCAGAACCCCCAGAAAGCCTGGGGGGGCAGACAAGCCCCAGGACTGCTGCCACTACCCAGCACTGTGGGGGGAGCTACTGGGCTTGTTTTGGCTTAAGAGCAGTTTTGCAGCCTGATGACCTGCACTGTGGCACAAACTGTCTAGCTGGGGTGTGCCAGTCAATGCAGCAGAGCATCAGCCATGGCAAGGACAACAAAACCACCTCTGCCTCGGATTGCTGCGTGAGCATCACCCGTGAAGGGCCACGCTGGCACCGAGGGCTGGACGCGCTGGCAGCGGGTCCACGGCCAGTGTGGCTCTAATTCATTCCTGATTACAGTTCACCTGCTGCACGCTATCACTCTCATGCACTCGCTCACCTTATTCCTCACTGTATGAAGTCACCATAATCAGATTACAGGGAGCAGGGAGGACTGGGGGATGAGGAGAGGAGGGAAGACAAGGAGACAGCACGGATGAGCGGAAACCTAGAGCGGAGATGGAAATCAAACTGACAGGCAGAAAATGCAGCTGGAATCCTGCAAGAGCCCTGCGGGCATCTGCACGACACTGGGTGTGATGTAATGAACCCTGTGAGAGGGCTCTGGAACACAGCCCTGCCTCCAGAGATAGAGATAAAATCTGGGTTAAGACATGGAGCACTTGGGGTCCCTACAGCGCCGCCCCCGCCCCAGCTCCTACCTGGTAGATACCTGTCGTGGTCGTACTCGTGTGAGCGCTGCATGTGGCTGTTCTGAGAGAAAGGCTGGTTCCCAAAGAGGTTGTCACTGCGCAGATTGTGGCACAGCTTCTCCAGGAAGCGGAGGACGTAGGTGATACTGTTTACTGCTGGCAGGTTCAGAGTGTGCTGTTCCCGATCAAACACAGCTGGAGACAGAAACAAACAGAGCCCGACACGTGAACCCCCCGCCAAGGCGGAGGCTACGCCCAGGGCCGCACAGCTCCTGATCTCGGCATCACTGGGCTAAGTCTGGAGCCAACAACAGCCACTGCCTGGGGCTGGCACAGCGCCGGGACAGGCCGGGACCAGCCTGCTGCTCCCAGCACCGGGCGAGCCACGGTCCAGGGAACTGAAAGGATTCCAGGAGGGGCCTGCACTCCCAGACCCGGCTACACACAGGCTTAAAAGGACCATTAAAAACCGAAAAACTGGGGTAGTTCTTTTCTTTCCATGAGGAGCTGTGAGAATCCCCCCCGTTGTGCCTCCTCCCGGGGCTGGGGCAGCACAGGGGCTGGTCGGTGGGGCAGGATGGTGCCCAGGCTGATGCCAGGGCTGCTCACTGCCTGCTCACTGCCTGCTCCCGCAGCTGTGCCCGCAGGCCATGGGAACTGCTCTGCTCTGAGTCAGCCACCAGCTGCTGCTTCACTGACACAGATGTGTGGCAAGAAAGAGAAGACAGAACTCTTCTGTCTGCCCCCGGCCTGTGGCTGCACCAGGCTCCAGGACAGACATCTTCCAACGAGAGAACTCTTGCAACAACCTCTCTGAAGGCAAAGTGCTGTGGGCCCATTCTCACCTGAGATGACCTCTCCCCCGTGGCCTTGTTTTAAGAAGGAGAAGACTGTTTTCTGATGATAAGCACAATCAATGCAGGCCTGTACTGCTTGCTGCAGGACAACAGAAGCTCGAGCTGGTCCAAAATGGTCTGGCAGCTGCTGAACTTTCTTCTTGTCTAGGTGGGGCCCAGTGCTGCCGTTCTTGTTCAAGTAAATGCAAACTGCCAAGGTGAGAAATGTGTTTGCCATTAACCCACTCCAGAAAGCAAGAAACAGATGCCTAAAATCCAACTTGAGAGATGCTGAGATTTTAAGATTATCCAATGGCTCACAAGGGGTAATCCACCACGACTGCCTGTCTGCATCCTCACAGTGGAGCTGCTTCTAGAGGGGAATCGCCTCCAAAACCTTCCTGCCTCACGCTCACCTTCCAAGCTGCTGCTGTTTCTCCCTGCAGTCAGGCTGTAAAGTGGTTTCCACACCAGCCAGGTCATGTTCAGAGGGGATGAAGGAATGCAACTCCCACTTTTTAGGGGTTCCTACAGTGTTTTCTTTTTAGGGAAACTCGGTTCTTTAGGTTCCTCTGAAAACCGGCCAATTACATTCTGGGGAAACAGAGGGCTCAGCCCATATCCAGAGCTTGACTCAACATGTCAAAAGCAGCTTTGCATTAAGACTTTCCTGGCCAGATTCATCCTCAGCTGCACTCACATCTGCAGCACTGCACATACTCTTCACTGCCATTCTTCCTCCTCCCCTGCTCCCTCCTCTCCCTGAGTGCCTTGATATCCTGGCTGGACCTGGACAGATCACAGCCCTTTGGTAACTGCCCCTTGTGCAGCTCCAGCAGCTGTGCCTGGCACGGTGTGGGAGAGCTCAGGAGCTCGAGTGCCCCCAGGCATGAAGGGCCATGAGCAGTGTCCCTAGAGAGCTGTGGAGTCACCAACATGCACGTGGGAACTCAGGGAAAGGGGTCTCTGCACTCAACAGGGGGCCTTGCAACCTTCCTACGACTTCATTATTTCCAAATGGGCAGAGAGATAAACGAACAGCTGATCTGGACTCAGTGCCTCTCTCAGGTCAGCCCTCCTGGAGTTGTAAGGATTGCTGGTTTACAGGCTAGGAAGAAATGGGACTCTCCTGGGGTGTCACTGTCTGCCTGCTGCAGTTCCTAACTGTGCAATCCTGTCAAGAATGTGGTCTGAGACCCTTCCTTACCTGTGGGAGCCTGCATGGCAGAGCTGGGGATTGTAGCAGCGTCCTGGGGCACAGTGCTTGTGTCTGGCTCTGGGGTACTGGTTGTTGGAGAGGTGGGTGCTGGGTTCAGCAATGTCCTAGGTTTCCTCTGCAGAAAAAGAGGAGATATTTCTCCTTTTATCCCTGCTCTCCTTTACCACCCGTGATCACTACACTCTCTCCTCTGCATCCAACAGACAAGGCACTGTGGAACATGACACACTTCTGATGGTGATGACGGGGTGTCCCAAGAACGTAGTAATCAATAGGTGTGTATTTTATAAACCACAATCCTGAAAAATAACAAGCCTGAGATCTGCCACCTCAGTTTGACTCAGACCAGCCACATACGAGGACGGGAGAACTTATTCTACCGTTTGGCCACCCTGTCGTGCTCCCAGCATCTGCCATGCTACTCCACAGCCAATGCACTTCCAAAGACACAGTTTCTTGATGGAAATGATCTTTAGGACACAGACATTCTCTACAGCTCTGGGGTTGGACTCTGAGGATGCTCCCAGCCCACATACCCCTCGGGTCTCCTACTTGCTGCAGTCACACAGCCAGAGGCTGAGACAAACGTGCACAAACACACGCATGCACCATCCCATGGCAGGACCTGCAGCACCTGCTGTTCACCCGCCTGCATCAGCATCAGCTTTTACCTTACTGCCAGGCTTGGGGCCTCTCTTTCTGGGGAATTTCAAAGGCTCCACTGACTTGGAGGGTGTAGGCATGGGGTGGTGGATTAGCGCTTTGGTCGTTCGACCACGCTTCTTCCCTGTTTTGCGACGCCTTTGCCCTTGTTGATGCCCCAAAACAGTCTTTGTGCTACTGTGCATGCTAGGTTTCTCCGAGTTTACTTCGGAGGCAGGTAAAGGGCTCTTTGGAATCACAACTGAAATAAAAAGAGAAAAAGCAAATATAATTAAATCAGGCGAGAATCAAAACAAGAGCAGCCTCCATCTTTATACAGAGTCACACGGAAAAACCTGGAGTACTCACAGCCCCCTGAGCGGGGGCACTGCCCTCCATGCCACAATAAGAACCAAACACACAGATCCCTGGCTTAGCACTCGAGCTGTGGGACACTGGGGCTTGGCCTGGATGGGCTGAACTCCAGAAGGATCACGCTTTCAGCCATACCTTCCTTCCTGAAAATAACTGGCACCTACAGCTCTTCCTTCTGCGAGTGGTGACCTGCCAGCGACCACGTAAAAGGCTCTGAGAGCATTCCTAGGGAAGGATCAGCCAAGACCTGCCTGATAGTCAGGACTGTGCTGGAAATCCCCTCCCTCAAGGCTGAAGTCAAATTTGCTCTGTCCCTAAATTTCCACTGAACTGCAGTGGAAGGGACCAGCTCCATCCTTGATGCCTGCAAGGATCACTGCTCCTGTAATAGCTCATCTCAGCTGGACCAGCTGTCCTCTCCCAGGTACTGCCAGCGACAAGTCTGTTCCTTCTTATCTTCTCACACTTTCCAAGACAAAACCAGGTTTCTGGTAAATTTGCCCACAGATCCTCCAAATTTGGTCATTCATCTTTCCCAAGTCCTGCTAAAGGCTAGAGATGAGCTGGCCCAGCTCAGCAGACCAATATTTCCTTCAGTTTTAAAATTCTGCTAAAGAGAAACAAACAAACATCCTCCTGTATTCTGAAAAATGCAGTGACCTTTAGGATGTCTTGTTTCTCACACCTGGAAACCTCAATGTGTATTCAACATAGGGGCAAGGAGTTAGAAAGACACAAACACTTTTGAAGTGAGGGGCTTTGTAGTTAAGGAAAAAACTCTTGGCCAAGGAAACAGAGTGCAATAAAAGACTGATACCAGGATGGCACAACTGTGGGCACATACAGAGATTTTTAAGGTTTCTTTAATGAGGATTTTATGAGCAGTTACTGTGAGCAAGGACTCACTCCCTTGGCACAATGAAGCTGTGGCTGCCCTATCCTGGAAGTGTCCAAGGCCGGGCTGGACGGGGCTTGGAGTAACCTGGGCTGGTGGAAGGTGTCCCTGCCCACAGCAGGAAGGAGATGAGCTTTAAGGTCCTTTCCAACCCAAATAACATAGTGCATGCAGGATCCAGCCCCATTCTGCTTGTTGTGTGGGCAGGGTAAGATTTAGTTTGAATTTTATTTCCTTGCTTTTGTGCATTAGCATTCTGTATCAAAAGCTGGGAAGAAGCACACAGTCACTCAGAATCTGTCTGACTTCCCAAGTAATGACTTTTTTGTGTCAGGCTGATACAAGAAATCGTGGGAGAAAGAGGGTTTTACTACTCCTTGTCTGAAATGTTAATATTAACAGCAAGACTTTCTTTGCTGGTAAGAAAATGAATACGATAGCTCAAGTGCTTCTTGCAGCTGATGGTTTTCCAGGAGAATCAGTGTCACCTGCTACAGCTGACATCTGGCACTGAGCAGGGAGGAATCGTGGGGGCTCTGGCCTCGTGTGCACGGCTGAAATGTTTGCATTACAGGATTTATCAGAATCCCCCAAGCTGACAGAACAAAGATAAACACAAGTAAAATGGAACAGGTTGCCCAGAGAAGCTGTGGCTGCCCCTGGATCCCTGGAAGTGTCCAAGGCCAGGTTGGACAGGGCTTGGAGCAACCTGGGCTGGTGGAAGGCGTCCCTGCCCATGGCAGGGGGTTGGAATAGGATGAGCTTTTAAGGTCCCTTCCAACCCAAACCAGTCTGTGACTGCATGATTCTAAAACATTCCATACTTCAAAGCAAATGTCAAACATCAAAGGGATGTGGAAGCGAAGGTGGGGGGCATTTCATTTGAGATCTGCACAATGCTCAGTGTCTGAACCAAGTGCCACAACGAGCTTTCTCTAAGCTAGAGGAGAAACTGAGGATTCTACAAACAAGCAGTGAAGCAAACCCACAGTGATCTCAGTTTTTCCAGTGACAAACCCACAGAAATGGTGCATTTGGGAAGTTGGGATGCAGTTGGCAGAGCAGCTGGACTGCACCCTTGGCTCCCAGGCTGGGACCACGTTGCTGGGAACCCAGTGCCAGGGAAAAAGAAACTGCTGCCAGGTGAACTCCTGGCAGTTTTTATAGTAAAAACTGACTTCATCTTTTGGTGAAATAAATGCAAGAAACATCTGTTGCCCACTTCAGCTGTAAAGATAACACAGGTAATGGTAATTTGCCAGGCTCAGAGAATTGGTTTTGGGCAATAAAAGCCCATAAGTGGGTGCAGGCAGATCCCATGATGGGACACCTCATGTCATTCAGCCACCCAGAGGAGTTCCCACTGTGCCTGTGCCCCTGGCAGCACATCCTGGTCCCTGCCACAGCCACAGCTCCTGCAGGGATGCAGGAGCTGCCACAGCTCGGGAGGTTGTTCAACGGAACAGGCGAAATGATGTGTAAATGTGCAGCCAGCCCAGGGCAGAGACACAGCCTGTGAGCTCCACTGGTGCTGTGTGCCCAGCAGTGGTGCTGAGCACAGCCCTGAGCACACTGCAGAACAGGCACTGCTCTTCTCCCTGGGGCTGCTGCCACCACACTGATGCAATGCACATTTTCCTGACCCAGAGTGCTTTAATGAAATGAGGTCTTATACTCCCATGATCCAACACCACTCAGCAGATTGCCTGGATTTTTGTTGGATTTTAACCAGAATGTGAGAAAACAAAGCCGGTGCTAATTCCTTTCTCTTGCCCTGCCCAACACAGAGCTGCACTCATCCTGAGGAGACACCAAGAGCTCCAGAGCAGAGTCATCCCACCAGCTGCACCTGCACAGCCACAGTGCAGCCCCCAAAACACAGGGATACTGCTGCCCATGCTCTGTCTCATCCCCCAGGCACTGGGGTGACTGGATGCTTCCTAAAGAAGCCTGAAGTTTCCCTTCAGTGGCCTGTTATTTTCCTGCAGGATTTCAAGCCCTGCTGTCACATAGACCTGGTCCAGAAGCACAGGATTGCTGTGGAAGGAGCAGTGCTGAGCACTCAGCCCTGTCTGCACCCAACCTGGCATCCACAGAGCTCCAGAGGTGGGAACAACTGTGCCCAGCAGGCAGGATTATCTCACAGCTCCAACCACTGCTCACATGTCCTTTAACTGCCAAAAGCTTCCATTTACTGCAACTTATTCATATTATTACTGCTTCTTAACTATTAAGAAACTAAAGCTATTAAAGAGTGTCCAAAGAAGGGCCACAAAGATGCTGAAGAGTCTGGAGGGGCCACACAAGGAGCAGCTGAGGGCACTTGGTGTGTGCAGCTGGAGCAGAGCAGGCTGAGGGCAGAGCTCAGCGGGGGCTGCAGCTCCTCCCCAGGGGCAGCTCCGATCTCTGCTCTGGGGGACCAGGGACAGCACCCAGGGAACGGCTGGAGCTGTGTCAGGGCAGGCTCAGGTTGGATCTCAGGCAAAGGTTCTTCCCCCAGAGGCTGGTTGGGCACTGCCCAGGCTCCCCAGGGCAGTGGGCACAGCCCCAAGGCTGCCAGAGCTCCAGGAGGGTTTGGACACCGCTCTGAGGGCCAGGGTGGGATTGTTGGGGTGTCTGTGCAGGGCCGGGGGTTGGACTCAATGATCCTTGTGGATCCCTTCCAGGTCAGGATCTTCTGTCATTTTGTGATTCAGCTGGAGACAGTGCCAGCCCAACAGTGAGCAGCTGCCAGAGACATCCCCACTTCCTTCTTCCTTGTAGAAGCCACTGAGAGGAGCCACATTTTCGGAAAGTCAAGCAGGGCCCTTCTTACTTAAAAAATCCACAGTTTGCTTTTGCTGAGAAAAGCAGCATCTCTCTGCCCCACAGCTTTGGTGCTCACCTGAGCTCTGAGCAAACTTAACCAACTCCAAAGCTGGCCTTGCTTTAGGTGAGGAGCTGAGCCAGCAGCCTCCAGAGATCCCTTCTGACCTGAATTATTCAGTGATCTGAACTCATGGTTAACCATTTCAGTTCATTAAGGGAACAGAAAACTACTCCACAGAAGTTTTCTGCTGGCTGAACTGTCTTGTTTTGGGTCACACAGGCATCCAGCAGCAGGGCAGACACGGAGCAGTGAGCTGGCTCCTTGTTGGGGCACAGTGAGAAACATCCCCCTAAACATGCAGGACCAAAACCAGCTGAACTTAGAGCCAAAGAAAAGTCAGACACCACTCATGGTGTTATTGATCACTGAAGGATTAGTTTACACAAGAATTCTGAGCTCCTTGCAGACACAAAGCGAATTCAGGATTTCAGGCTCTACTTCCTCATGCCAGCGTGTCCCCTGGCAGCTGACACATGGCACAGCAGCACCTGCAGCTGCCCACCACACTGTGACTCAACCTGTCACCTACAGCAGGCTCTCACAGTTGCCATTCACACTCTGAGGGTAGTCAGAGAAAGCAGCATTTGTCACCCAAGCTTATCTCAGGCTTGGCACAGCTTGAAGAAGACAAAATTATGTCCTTGGGACAAGAATTACAAAGCCAAACCATGTAGGAAAATATGGAACAGAAATACTGAAGTTGCAGAAGGTTTCCTGCCTTTCTCTACTACTTACCAGCCTCATTTACCAACAGCTGCTGAAGCCCAAACCCCACATCTCCATTTTCTGTGCCAAGAGCTCTGTACCCTCAGGTGCAGTTGGAGCTGCCACACTTCTCCCTGGAGATCTCAGTAGTGCCCACTGCAGTGTCCTGAGGGGTAGGGGGTGGTTTCTGAGCAGCCTGAGCACACCACTCATGCCCATCCCAAAGCCCCTCTGAAGGCTGTCCTGCAGGCCACCCCTCCAGGGGTTCTTTGGTGCTCAGCTGCCCCTTGTCCCATCCTCAGCACTGCACAGGAATCAAAGAGGTGGGTTAGAGAGACATCTCTAAGAAAAGCAAATTTGCCAGAGAGCAGAAATCTTGAGATCTGGCTGAATCCTTCCCTGGATGAGGCATTTCAAT